CCGTCATCTATTTTTCACAGTCCGTCACATACTAGTTCATCCTGCCGACGATATTCGTCGTCGTATGAAAGTGATCAGTTGGAGAAAGTGCTCTTTATCGGCGAGCTTAGCTCGGTGGCGCGTAGTCGGTCAGCGTGTGTACTGAACCCTACCGAAAAGATCGATCGCTGTGATGTGTGCCACAAGACTTATGTGATAAAGTAGCTAAACTGTAACAAAAGTCCTAGCATAAAAGAAGAAATGTATTTAACTAATAAAAAGGGTTCATATTTAAATTCAACTATTCTAGATATTGCGTTTCTTCCTTGCACTGAATTTAGCAGGACTAGTTACTGTTTTTGTAATTTTAACGGTTCACCTGTAGATTTTATGTATCAATAAATAATCAGTTTGTAATATCCGAAACTGTTGTGACCTTTTCTTGTTAATGTTTCATTACGTGGATGGTTCCAAACCAAGCGCACGATCCTGGGGGGCAGATTTTTTTTTGGCTTCCCTTAGGATACTTTGCCCAATACCGGTAGTCTTAAGCTGCTAGAGCCTTATGTAAAAGAATCGCTTCTGGCCACTCCCAAGTAAATGCTGCTCAGAGAACTTTCCTCACTTGCGTGAACTTCAACACATGGCTCCATCCTCCTGCATTTTGAGATAGAGGTTCTGCGGAAGATTTATGGCGATTTGCGCATTGGCAACTGCGAATATAGTATTCGATGGAATAATGAGCTGTATGAGTTATACGATGACATTGGCATTGAGCGAATTACAGTTAAGAGACAGCGGCTACGCTGGCTAGGTTATGTCGACTCCTGCATTGAAAGTAGTCATTTCGACAAATGGATATACCTTTTCTTTTCAGACTCTTAAGGGTTCTAATTTTTTCAAAAATGTGCGAACTAGTTCGCTTAGGCAAACGATCGTGTTTACTCGCTACCGCTCAGTTCGTTTTTAGCAAGTTCACCACAAGTTAAAATAATTTTTGTGTATTCAATTTAATAAAAACTTTGTTTTAATTTTGTTTTTATATATTTTTATTTTGTTTTTATTTGGCATGTGATTAAGTACACAAATTACACAATTTAAATTGCTTTCCCAATAAATTACACTAATTTGTTGCTTATACGAAATGTACACATTTATAAAATACACACAAATACATACATTCAATAATTTTTTAAAGTAAAGTATATTATTGTGAGTGCTTTGCTTTTATTAAATTTTTTTATTTTTATTTTTTTTTTTTTGTCTTTCATTTTGTTTATTTTCTATAATGAATACAAAGTAGTTCTTCATAAGTACATTGCTTGTGTTACTTGCTTTCAATTATTTGCAATATTCAATTTTCTTTCCTTTTTGCTGATGTTTTTAACTTACATTATATAGTTTTAGGCAACAATTCACATGAACAAGAAACACCTGTTGAATGGAGTGCTTCGAAAACGCTAGTTTCGAAAAAACACACTTACAGTTACGTATGCACACACATATATACTATGTGTTAATCACTAGAACTGAATATCAATGCTTCAATGTTTCGCTTGGCATTCGTCGTTACTAACATTGAGATATATATTTGTATGTATGTGTATTTGTAAAACAATTATAGTAAATAAATGTACAAATACTTTGTGTTGCAGTGTGATGTTTGGAGATTTGTTTTCTGAAAAGATAATTTCCAAATATTCGTGGCTTTTTTCGTTTATTTAATTTTTAAATTTTGAATATCATTCATTTGATTTTCGAGATTTCATGGAAGTATTTTGATTTTTTATTTTACTTAGTTATTGACAAATTTAAGTATCCAAAAGTGGTGTCGATTTCGAATTAAAATAAGAGTTTAAACACAGTTGCCTCATTTCCTTAAACAAAATAGTAGTGAAATTAATAATGTAGTAATGAGAACAAATCGAGCAAGTTTTGTGTCGTTACAAAGTGATATGTTTTCAAACTTATACTATATATCCGACACCAGAAATAAAGTATATATAACACAGTTCTACAACAAAAAAAAAAAAAAAATTTGTCGCCCTTTATATGTAAATTAGAATTTTGATGCTTTTAGTCGTCTAGGTTACGATCTTGTTAGGGCAATCTGGAATGTGCTCTTGTTGTTAAAATAATTGCATTTCTAATATTTTATGGGCTTATTAGTAATATAAATTTAGTTTTCTAGTCATGATTAGGTTTTCGCGTACCTTTTTCGCGGAAAGTGTACACATTTTACTAAAAATTAAACGTGGAGATATCTAGAATTAAAATTTAAAAATTGCCCTGTTTCACTCCATGAACATTCGCTTTCGTTTCAAAATGAATTCGCATCGAATAGTCAGAAACAATGATGCCACCAAATACCAATGTGTGAAGAGGGTGAAATATCTAGACTCAAGTTATTATATTCAAAATGAACTCGATGATTTGGTACGTGACGAAGTTAGGATGGATAAGCATTTTATCAAAGCGTTGGACGTGGAAAGATACTGCTTTAGTGACTTTGGCAGAAAATTTCCGAATTTAGAAAACCTTAAAGGTAGAGTATTGATCTGCAAAATGAATTTTCTGGAAAGTGAATCCAAATCCAAATTTCCTAGGCAACCATAAAGTACCAAATTTTGACAGACTGTAGGAGCAAATTTGAGTATCACCTTAGACCATCTCCGTAATCATTTCGATAAATTTTCGGAAAATTTTGGAAATTATAGAGAGGAACAGCTACAGAGAGGTTCAACTAGGACCTAAAAGTGATGGAAGAATAGTATCAAAGTTGTTGAGATCGTCATAGGACGGCAGATTATTTCTAATTCGTGAGAAGATATTGCCACTAAGAAACCTATAAAACCTATAAAACAAAAAAAAAAAAAAAAAAAAAAAAATTAAATGTATAAACACACTTTTTGTCATTTTCTCAATGTTTACTTAAATGTGTCCTTATTTTATAAATTATATTATTTGGTCTCAATTTTTCTGATTCTTGTACTGTAAAATGGAAATAAAGATCTAAAAATAAACGAGAGCAAATCTTTCAAAAATATTGATAGTTTCATGAATTGTGATATATATATGTACATATATCCAAAATCGATCTTATTTCTTGGACAACAAAACCACTGTAGACCAGTGTAATTCAAGAAATAAGAAAAATAGAAAAAAAAAAATACCCTGAGCTACAAGTAACAAAAGCGAAAATATACCGCACACTCTCTTTTGTCAGTTCAAATAATCAGTTACGTTAGTAAGATTGGAATGTCTACCTATAAATCTCGGACCTTCATTACGTGTTGTACACCGGTTATGAACCTGAACCAACCAGTTGAAAAAATTAGATTATTCGGTTTCTACAGTTGTTGAGTATACTCTTAGGAAAAAAATATATTACATATTATATATTTATGTTTTCTATAATTTTTTGATAGCTTTTTGACATAATACAAGTATAATTGACCACTCATCGGTAAATTTAATAGTATATAAACACTATATTTTGAAGTGGTTGTCATCATAAGTAGATATAATTAATTATATATAATTATTTTCTAAATAACTTTGTGTATAAGGAATATAAATTATAAAATTACGAAATGTGGGTGTTTCATGAATTTATACCAGACATTATTTTTAAGTCAGTTTTCAGTTAACAGTACTTGTTTCTATTACCATAGAAACGGTGTTCATTATTCACTTCAGTCTTCAATGAAAGTACGGTAATCTTAAGAAATGTGTATTTAAGTTAAATTTTAAAATAAAATTCAATTGAATGATATTTTGAGGGATAGTGGAAATCTCCATGCAAACCCATAAACTCCATTTAATTGCCACTTTTTTCTTCCTAATGACCTATCGTTAGTGCAATTAAACATAGTTTATTTAGTCTAATTCCTTATTTGGGAGAGCTGTATTATAATTCATAAATACATATGCATTTATGGAATTTTAATCGAAAAAAAAATATTTTGAAGAGGAAAATAAATAAATTCCTTTTGATTTTATTCAAACATCTTAGCAATTTGTTGAGTCATTTAAGTTGGATTAAATAGGGGTTGTAATTAATTAACTAGATTTAGTGTAAGAAACACTAATTTGTTTAAGCACTATTAAACATATCTAAAAACACAGTAAGCTATTTGTATAAAATTCGTTAGAAAAATTACTTGATGGTTTGATAGATTCGTTTAATTTTCGTAGTTGTTTGACGGAAATAAATCACAAAAAGATATGCAGAATCAGTTAATTAGATACTGCTAGAACACATGCGATTATATAGTTATAGATGTTTTATATTTAATACTTTGTGGAAGCTCGTTTAAGACAGATATATATTGTTGAATTTTAATCGACTTGTGGTTTTTAAAGGAAATAATTCGTGATATGAAAATATTTTTTTCCTCATACAATTCATAAATTCAAACCAAAATATTGCATTGATATTAATAGATTTCGAAATAAAACTTAGCTTCATTGGATCTTCGTGCCTATTCTATGCGATACTGCTATTGAGTGAGTTTGCTCTACAATTCTTAAGTTATTGTTACTTATATTTTATTGTTCCGTAGAAACGTCTAATAATTGCTAACTTAACTATGCATAAGACAGCCATTTAACAACAACAATATTTTAAATAACAACAACATTGGTAAATAATTGTTTCGTAACAAGTTCATAGTTCTAGTGCTTATTGCTTGACGCTCTCATTAATTGAGTGTTTAGTGGAGGAAAGAACGCTATATATAACTATCTCTATTTGTAAGTTAACCAATAAAATATAATAGTTATAAAACAAAGGCAAATAATACAAACATCCTCCTAATTAAGCCACCATCTACGCATTAATTCCGTCAGCCGGTTGCTTCTTAAATTGATTTTGTAGTAACTTTCAAACTTTTCTCAGAAACTCACTAAATATGTAATATGAACTGATCTAACTGTATACTTACCTATGAACATAACTACATACATATACTAGTACCGAAATATTTGTCTACAAAATATGTATTCTGTGCTTTTGGTATAAAATATACTATTTCCTAGAGATTTCTACAAAACTTCTAATGTTTCCTGAACGCAAGAACGCTGACACTTGTCAGTATTTGATTTATATATGGTACGTATAACACTTCGATCACCCCATTACGTGATCTCACTTGTCGGTGGTTGTGTTGGTTCACTTTCGATTTCTACGGTGGTCTCATTTTTCGGTTGCGGATCCTTTGCCGGCTCGCTGGTCGTATTCTCTTCCACATCTATCGAGTTATTTTGTGCACGTTCTGGTATCTCGGCTAGCAGTGAGAAACTGCTCGCTTTTTTCACATTATAGAGCGCAGCTTCACTCTCCGCTCTCAGCAGCGTTGTTCGTCTTTCATTTATAACTTGCACTGAATCGTAGAGCTCGTTACTATCGATGCTTTGTCGTTCGCTAGAGGAACGTATGTAGAAGATGCTGTCGTCCATTTCGTTGGGCAGTTGTGGTTTGGGTCTATAGAAAGTGCGCGAGGAGTTGCTGCGGCAAAGAGATTTATTGATCTCACTTACTACGGCAGGTTTTGTATTGGTTGCGAGGCAAAGTGTGTCGGGGCGTGGTTTCTTTAGAATGCTATTTAATTTCTTGGGTGGCTGTGGTGGTAGTAGTTCTTCTACATGGTTTGAGGCTGTCATGGATATGGTTTGAATGGCCACGTTTAGTGCATCTGGTGATAATGCGACCCCATTCATGCTGTTACATGATTTTTCTTCCGTGTTATCTATGAGTTCTTCGGGGAAACAAGGTTCTAAGCTCGATTGACCGGAAAGCTGGTGTATGGGAGCGGGTGGTTCTGAGCAGACACTTAGTTGGCTTCTGAAATCGTGCATGCATTGAGCAAGATCGAGTTTGAGAAAGGTGTCTTTCCTTACCTGAACTCTTTTTCTACCGACGGAGTGGCGGATGGGCCAGAGCTATAGCGCTTCGGTGAACGCAGTATGGATTTCGGCAACACTTCAGGGCTATGCAGATCTACTTGAATACGTCGTGAATCGATACTTGATGCGCGACTTGCCATGGAAGCGCAACGTGCCGTCCAGCGGCCACTGTACGATGAGTCTGACATAGTAGAACTTCTGTTGGCGAGAAAAGCAATCCATTAAAAGTGCGTATATTTAATTCGAATTTTAGTGATCGAAACAAATCGCGCGAGTGGAATGTTGTGTAAATCTGAGGTGGACTATTTTCATTAGTCTCCCATTGGCCGACTCACCTGCGATTGCCCAGAGGGCTGCTTTTGTCCTCTTCATGCTCGATCGGCTTCTGTCGTGCCAACACATGACGTTTGGCCGTATCAGAGCGGCGAGACATGTCAGCCACAGTAGCTCTTGAAAGATGCTTATCCCCACGAAGGCCGTCGTCGAAAGAGGCCGCATGCCAGTAGAGTTTATTTGTGCCTGGTGGCTGGAGCAGCGCACAAGGGGCACCATTTTCACGAGTGTTGCGTTGCACCAAACTGTTGCTGATGCGTGGTGCGCGCGATTTCACTTGTCGGCCGCTGCTGCTCGTGGGTGTTTGGCGATGGTGGTGGTGGTGCCGATGATGGTGGCGATGGTGACGTTTTTGTTCCAACAACAAAAGTGGTTTGTGATTCGGCGAAAGCAAATGTGAGAGGTTAGTGGAGTAAGCGATGGGGTGGGGGACATGTGTGGAGAGATTTGGCACAGAACCAGTGTGGGTGAGGCGTCGTAGTTGTGGAGAAAAGCGAGCGGATGCGCTAATGGAATGAAAGCGAAAGCGATTTTTTCTTGATTTTAACGCTAGAGCTGAGAGCTGAGCTAAGTTTGATTTTGGCATAAATGTTTACTTGCGGGAAAGCGAATGCGATTGCATGCAGTTAAATGGTATGTGTCATAACATAAGAATACATAATATGAGCAACTACATTTACCTGAGCGATTTGGAAAACTTGACTAGCTCCGCGGTAAGCGCGTCACGATCGAAGGGCTGCGGTGTGGTCTGCGGTGGCGGCTCAGCTGGGGATGTGCGAAATACACCAAACTGTTGATCCCAGCGCGAGGACTGCAATTGTATGCCTGCAAAAGGGTAAGGGATGGTGTTACTCAGAGTCAATGTATTTCTCAACAGTCAGCACTCACCAACGGCGCGTCGCTGTGAAGTTGCGCTGCTCTGATTACTACGCACCGTTGTCTTGCTACCAGTCGCACCGGCACGAAAACGCGCTGGCACCACTTTTGCCGCCGAGTCACGCGCCTCAAATGTCATAACGCACGAAGCAACGACAATGAAACCGCCAAAACCCATTACAATCGGTCCGACGTAAGAGAGATTGTTGAGATGGAAGCCCTTCAAGTCATTCTTGACTCTCACCGTCGCATTGCCACGCAGTTCAGAGTTCGTTGAAAGGTGGTCTGCATAATAACCTAGGGTAAAAACAAAAAAAAAAAAAAAAAATTGTATTTCAAATTGTAATCAGGCGGTTGGTCACACCCGAGCACACGCAATTTACCTATCGTAGCCATACCGGCGCCGAGCAGCATCAGCGTCAGACCCAGCACAAGTGCGCGACAAGCATGCCAAAGGCACTTAGATGACATTTTACCACGTACCACTTGCACATTCCATGTGGCACCCGAGGCGGGATGAGCGCGACGCAAATTTCCAATTGAGTGCTTGCGTCGCACTGTGGCGCCGCCCGACCTTCGCGTAGGCATCACATCGACTTCAACCCGCTCCTCAGGTTATGTTCTCTGTTGTAATTACAATTACTTTGGATTGTTGTTCTTGCTGTTGTTATGGGTTTCAGTTGCAGTTCGCTTAAATAATTACAACTCGTTTTCGTGCGTAATTAGTTGACGTCTCCTGTGTCAATTTAACATTGCTTATGATATGAACTGAGCTAGCTGTATACAGTAAAATGTCAACAATAAAAGCGTATTCAAATAAGGAAGGATGAGGAGTGGACGAGAGGCTTTGCGAACCGTCAATAACTGTTCCTAATTAGGTCGCTTAATTATACAGTTAGTTGGCTATTTATACACTCGTATAATTGATTAGACCCACGTATATACATACATACATATCTCTATTCATACTAAACGTTAAATCGAATTGTGCTCATGGAGAACATTCGTAAACGGCATGGAAAACAGTTTATGCAGTTATGGTATATTTAGTTATGTTTAGGCGCATTGAGCTATGCCTGCTTCCGGAGTTTCCTTCCTTACTCTGCTGGTCTAAAATGCAGCCTATTTATGGAACTTATGCGGAATAATCATTTTATACCGCTTTGGAACGAGCCAGATCAGCTGGATTTTATATTTATAACTTCTCTAAATAAGTTTTGTTTTTTAAATTATTATTTGCTAAAATTTTATTGGTGTAATGATCACAAAGTAAAGGTTTCTTTTAGTAAGTTTTCAATTTGAGTTTATTGGCCAGTTTTAAAAGGTACACCATCATGAACACGCCGCACAGTGAGACAACGCCGGCATAAAATACAAGGAGTCATTGTGGAGCTCTGAAATTTTGCACAGGTTATTTTTGAGAAAATTCCATTTAAAAAATTAAGAAAATTCGCCCACTTTTACGCCCACCTGCCATACAGTCGAAATTTTTAAAATGCCGTATTGTCCGTAATACTTTAGGTATAACTTTCAATTTTGGCATACTTGAATGTTATATAGTTACAAACATTATTTTAAATAAAAATTGAACTTTGGCCCACTTTTAACCACATCACCCATACTACCTCAACATAAAAAGTGCCATATTTTCTAAAATATATTAAATACAATCTTCAAATTCTATATTACTGTAATTTATATCATTTAAAATGTTTCATGAAAAAATTACAATAACACGCCCACTAATACCCCCACCTCCCATTGAAATGCAATAAAAAAACAATATTTTTTTTTCATTCATCAATAATTTTTTAACATCATCATGGTATTCTAATTTTTTCAATTTGATTCTCATTCTAAATGAATTAATATAAGAATCTGATGATATTTGCAAATAGTGCATTACATCTTCATTCGTAGAAATACGTGAATTTTTACGAAAATGGAAAAGCCTACAGTTTCTATACTCCTTATTCATTGCTTCTTGCGCTTCGTCGGATAACATTCCTGTAGCAAAAAAAAAAAAAATTAATATTAAATAAAGTTTAAAAAAATACTTTCAAAAATAAAAATTGCAAGCAAACCTATTGGCAATATAGCCTCAGATACCATTTTGCATTTTGCACATTAAGGAATAGTAAACAATTAAAAAAAATAAAAGTAAAAAGTTGTAAACATGCTAATGCATGCTAACATACGTATAGCGACAGAATGTGCGCGTTACGTACTTTTTGTAGTTTTTTGTATGTTTAATGTGCTTTTGCAAAGTTTTGCTATATGTTCTCTACTTTATATTAAAGCTGAGATTTCAAACTTTCATTTGGTATAAGTCTGCACCTAGGGCGAGGGGCTGCTCTATATTTCCTAGGCCATTGAAAATGCAAAATGTTCAATTTTTGCACCACAATTCTGTTGTTAAGAAAAAAAAAAAAAATTGTGTTTTTTTTTAAATTTATTTTTTCATTTACTCATTCTACAATAACTAAATTAATTAAAAAAATACTTTAAAGTTACATTTATTATGTATTTTTATTTTAATAAGCTTTTGATTATTACATATTGAACTAACATATTTCAAGCGCGTTGGCATACCTCAACTTTGACTTGCTCTAGACCAAAAAGTAATGAGGCTTCAGGGAATTGTTACTCATATATCTGTTAATATACTGTGAAAATTTCATCCAAATTGGACGACACGTCAAAAACCATTTTTTGCCGCGGTTACTATTGGGCTGTCTCACTGTGCGCCGTTTCCTTCAGAAAGTCCCTTAAGCTCATCTGAACACAATTTAGCATTCGGTGCTTACGAAAACAAATACTCTGTTTTGAAACAATATTTCAGATATATTAAAAATATTTTGAGACAGACTCAATGGTCTTTTTAAATGCAACTCAAAGCTTCCTCTTATCTGAATCTAATAGTATTTCAAAGTTGCTCATAAACAAAACTCTTTGACACGCGTTTATATCGCAATCTGTACGTGTTATTACTGTTTTTGCTTCATAATTTTTACAACTGTCAACCCTTTCTGGTTTCTTCATATCGTGGGAACTGCAAAAACGTAAGGTCGAATGAGATTATTGGAAGTCTTAATAAGTCTGAGATGGCAGCTAATCTCAAGCACATCATCTATAGTCTCCTCTACTGAAGAGTGGGAGATAGGCGAGTGGAAGTGCACAGGTACTTCGTAAAGTAAACAGGGTAAATCCGCAAGGTGGTGGTCGTTGGATCCTAATGGTGAACGACCTTTTGAAAAAACTTAAGAAACGACGCTGCCAATTGATGCCTCGCAGACGATGCAGCTCTTGGACGACATCGGTCACCTTATACCGTTGCAATGGTGGCACATAAATTGGTTTTATGGCTTTATGCCATTTAATAATGCCTTTTCACGTTGCACCTTTAGATATGGCGGCCGGCGATGAAGGCTGCTTTAGACTTATCTAAGCTGGGTATATGAAAGCTCACTCAGGCACACATAATTTTTTTTTACTGTTTCGAATACATTTCTCACAATCTAGATCACTGCAGCGCAGATTTTCTTCTGCCGGTTCCCTTTCACCTCACATACCTCCAAAGAAGTTGTGGGCGAGGCAAAGCTGTTGGAGAAGTGGTGTCGTCAGCTTTAACAGAGTAGCTGACTGAATATTCTGTCAGGAGCTAGTCGCCATATCCGACTACCAGATCACTATACTATCTTTCTAGTAGCAGTATATGTATGCTTCGAAGTTCAGCTACCTTCAGAGAGGTAGAGGTACCAGATATACTGGTTTTTAGCTCACTGAGTTTACGATCTAAACTAGTGAACAAGTACAAGAAAATTATAGTGAAAGTTTCAATTTTCTTTCATATTACACTAGAAAGATCGCTGGAAAGTCCAAACCCGATGAAATTGCTAGGGAGGACATCCTCCCCGATTTCCTTCGATTGAAATCGAGTCGGTCGTACAATGTCTTATTCCGTTCTGGCTTTGATCCTTTGAACCTCTACTGAGCTCAGCAAACGCTGATGAACAATCATAATTTGTGTGATAATTTGCGTGATCCTACTGTCCCACATAAACCCGTAAGCGATTCTCCGACATATTAGCTCTTAGCATATTGAATATCGCTGCAATTGTAGGCGCTTCGACTGGACATTGTTCAATACTCACATCCGGTGCTGTTAAATATTTTGTCGAACCCTCTTTGCCAAAGATATATGGAGCAAGGTTAAGTATAAATATTTTGTCACTCCCTCCTCTATCACCCGGCTTTTGTCAGACTGAATAGAAACATCTCGTTAGATACATCTTTGGCGAACCTAGCGAAGTTACCTTAAAATAATTTGTGATAAGTTCAAAATGATTCGTCGATATATTAAATGAAGATCTGGTGTTCCACTTTTAATCCAAGTGAAATTAATCGATTTTGGGTCAACCCTAGGACTTCATCTAACCTAACGCTTTCCCGTTTTTTCAACTTAAAGCTGCTTTAACTGCGTCGTCTGATTATTTATGGATTTTAAGAACTTTTACAAGTCAATAAAGACATTTGAAACCAATGAGCATCGCAAAGTGCGAACATTTCTATGTATTTCTATTCGAGAAACTTTAACTTTAAGTAAAATTAATTGAAATGTTTTTTTGGAAAAACCTTAATGTCTAAACACAGAGCGAGACCCAAACAAATATTACGCAAACCTGTTGGTGAACCTGACAGTATGTTTTTAATGACTTATGTACTAAACACACATATTCTTATATCAGTTTGCTTTTTTCTCTATGTGGTTCTATATTATAAAGATAACCCTCTTATTTTCCCTTATCTTCTATATATAAAATCGATTTACGAGAAAATGAAGGTAAAATGCGAGCACAATCACTAATTGGATAACGGAATCAGTAGTTGTAGTCCTTCACACTCGAAATGCGATTGCCATTCGTTTAGTCGCATTGCGTGTCAACTACACCGGCACAGTTGCCAAGTACATACATGCATATGTATATAAAATTATATATAATATATTAAGTGGGTATATGTATATGGGTATATGTATAGGTCTCATATATAACACTTGTACATTTGCATTATGAAATACTTTTCTAATACTTTTGCTTATATTCAGACACGCATACACACAAAGTTGACACTGTGTGCTCAAGGTGCAAGTTTTATGGGAAAATTTAAACCATTAAGTTTTGTCAATTGATTCTGGGCTCTAGAAACGCTTGCTTCGTTATCGAAATTCTCCAACTTTTTATTTGACATTACACAAATTTTCTGGTCTTGGTGGACAATTGGTATTGTGCTAGTAGGTAGATGAATGATACAACTTTTGATCTTTAAGGAACCTGCTCCCTACAAAAAAATATAACTGAGATATATAGTGTGTATGAAATGGCTTGGAAGAGTAATGTGAGAAGACTATAAATACTTCTTATACTGAAGAAGATATATTAAGTTTGCCAAGATGATTGTAACACCCAAAAAGAAACATCGGAGACCATATAAAGTATATACATGATATTGGTCCTAAATTCTGTACACCTCCTTTTCTCACCAAAAAATTGCTCATTTGTCGGAATCAATGCTACAGGACAACTATATATATATAGCTGCCATACAAACTGAACGATCAGATATCTGCATGAAACTTGGCATATATTATTCTCTCAAATTTCCGAATATATTGTTTAGATCGGTTCAGCGTAGCTCATAGCCAACATCCAAATTGAACGATAAAAATAGTTTTATATCCTTCATATAACATTGTATGCTACAAAAATGCACCTGCGAATGGTATAATAGATTTGCTGAAGTCAATGAATTTGGCGAAATCTAAGGCGTAATCAGTCAACTCTATTCATTCTTACTTACTTCTAGCTTCGTCAGATTAATTTATATAAGAAGCCTGATGTTGACTTGGAAAATAACTTATCACCTCATCTCTTTCTGTTTTGTACTAAATCAATTTTGCTATAAAAATTTTGGATTTCATATAAAACAAAAATTAATGGTGAAAATGGTTTTTGCAATTTTTTCTGGAAAGCTCTTTTAACTCACTGTACAAATGAACACGCGTGTATACACATGAAGTATACCGGTTCGCACTGCTACAGCTAGGCTCACACTGCTGACAAGCAATTGAAAGAGTCCTTGCAAGTAGCATTTCAACAAGCAGCAGAGATGTGACAGCGACAGTGACATTACTGAGGGTCCAGTGGGTTGGAGCAGTTTTCAAAATACAAGTGAGACTTTAAAAATAAATGTGACACATGCATACATACATACACAAGTACATGAGCAAAAACATGCCTATTTATGTCGAGCAATTGCACAAATGCGAAAGTACAGGAGCTGGCGATATGCGATCCTCCCGCAACCGCTGCGCTTCTCGCTCGCCAAATTGCCTATTTAAATAGTGGTTTGGTAGCAAGTCGCCGGCACTTAAGTGTTGTGCCACCAGCGAACTCATATTTGTCAACAGTCAACTTTGCTTTGGTGGCGCTTAACTTAATCCTTGTCAAGTGCCGCGAGACTATTTTTAAAAATTGCGGCTAATGCAAGTGCTTGTAAATTCTGCGTGTGTGTGTGTGTGTAGCTTATGTGCCTATGCGAGAGGAGAAAGTTTTGTGCAAAGCATGCAGCGCGGAGCGAGGAGGGCAACAACCATTTTCGCTTGTTGCGAAAAATTTGTCAAATTTAAAATTCAACAGTCGCAAAATGAAAGCGTCATAAAACAGTTAAGCAGGCAGGAATTATGCGAAATAAAACAAATGGAAACATGCACGTGACACGTACAGGCAGGTGCATGTAGGTGAGGGTGTAGTTTGGGGTGGCAATGTCAGCATTGTAGACTCATTTGACGGTAATGCGAAATGCTGACACGGGCTTATGCAAAACAAGCATGCTTACTGTAGATATGTCAGGATTTGGATGAATCGTAAGCTTTATGTGATGCCTAGGTATGTTTGTGGAAACATTTCTTTCTCTACATAAACAAAAAAACATAAATTTCCGTGGCTAAAATACCCTTCCCAGGTGTAATTTATATTACGATATGTACATATGTATTCGATGAGTTTGCAAGAAAAGGCACCCATATCAAAATTCCATCAGGATGCGAACAAATGACCAAACTGGATCCTGTCTCATTGGTACTCCTGCGGCGATGATAAAGATTTTGGTAATTATCAAAGTTGCAATATGGAAAAATATAAACATTTTCACATTTGAAGGATCTCTTTTGCCATACGTTCTACGAACCTAACGTATTGTTTTGAGTAGATATTAGCCAGCTAAAAAATTGTGTCAAGATCTAGGCGTTCTGGCGATATGCGATGGCCTTTGTGATCTATACCTAGGAGTTCCGGGCATCACAACGGACCAGCATCTCTAGTGGTGCAAGTGGGATTATGTGAGTAGACAGGATTTTGAGCAAATCTAAACTGTATGCATAACTACGGAAAATGTAAGCGGCCAACGCTTTATTTCATCCTATCTTTGATGTTTATTCAGCTCGTCGCACTGATCATTTATATGTACATATATATTTTGTAGCGATCTTTTCTGCTTCAATGTTACAAACTTTGTAGCAAATTGAATGTACCCTGTTTAGGGTTAAGTCCTAGTGGTCTAAAGGCTAAATGTTTCATTGTTTTGTTTTGTGACTTAAACTTGGACCCATTCAGGTCGTAGTTTTCACATCCGTCAATGCCAAACATTGAAGAGCAGTAGGCAGTGTTAGCATGTTCTAATAATTTTTCTCTAAAAAATATTCACTTATTATTCATCAGTAGATATAACTGTGAATTGCTTGAGAGCATTCTTCCTTGTTTACACGGATTCTTCACGCCCTTGAAGAAGCTTTAGGGTTTTGTGTGGAAATAAAGTCTTTCGCACTCCTAATCTTGACACTACGAGGACATGAAACCTTTTCAATTTTTTTTTTTGCAATTCAGTGATGTTTGGGGCATCGTTTGTTTATTTGAACTAAGTATATTATTAATCGGATGGACAACCCAACAAGTTTTGGTTGCTCAAAACGATGATTTATAGAACAAGACCTTCGCTTTTGTTATCGTTTATTTCAAAATTTAAGATTAAGGAAGACTGAAAGAGTGTTTCAAGAATTTTTCGCGGCAATCATTTTTCCTTTTCACTGCTTGGCGCCGATTGGAAATTAAAAGTGTAGCCAGGTCCTTCTCCACCTCATCTTTCCAATGGAGTGCAAGTCTTTCTTTTCATCTTTCTCTGCTTTCCCTGCGGGTATTGCGAAGAACCCTCTCAGAGCCGAATTGTTTCCATCTAAACGGGTGACATGAACTAGCTCGCTGTCTGAAGAAAGCAGAACTAACGGCGCGGTTTACCATTGGCGTACACCAGCAGCTGTATACTCTTTTAGAAGATTTTACTTTCTTCATTTAGATCGGCAGCTCGAATTATTTTCTCCAGGAGTAGATTGAAGTAACTTTGAAATAAACGAAGAGGTGGTGCGTGTCGATTTCACGGGTCTTTTCCAAGATTTAGTGCTTGGCCTAAAGTCTCACTGATCAGGTCCAATTAGGTGAGCTTCAGACTTTCACACTGTAGAGAAGAACTTTAAATATGAAGTAGAAGCTTATCACACGATAGTTGGCGTAGATTGTTGGGTCTCTTTTTATGTGCATTGAGTATCCATACCCTACAAAGATGCTTATGCATGCTCTTTATCAGTTTTTTGACGCCGTATTTGAAAAGTTGTTCCGACAATCTATCCACGAATAATGTGGTTGACATCACATAACTTCTTTATGAAGAACCAAATGGTCAATGGCGGACATTGAGGTAAATTTTAGGTGCCTTCGTAAATAATGCTTCGTGAGCTGCCCGATAGTGGTAGACAATTTATAAGATCGCCACCACAATATTGAACCATCACTTTTACGCTTGATTTGTTCATCAATTTGAAAGGATAAATATGTAAGAAAATAAAAAATAAAGGTTGTATTTCTATTTAAATTTTTTTCTAAAAACATTTATTAAGCTAATGTTATGATAAGAGGTGTGTAGCTTCTACTCAAAATTTTCTTATAAAATTGCGTATTGGCCAAATGTAGGCAATATTGTTAACAAAATATTAGACCTTGCCTACATTTAGGCTGATTGTGAAGGCAAAATGTGATATTCTAAAATACAAAAAAACATTGAAGTTTTTATTTACATGAAAATGATTTAAGTCAGAGTTCCCACACTTTTCCAACACACAGTGCGCAGTGTGAGTTGCGAGCTATTAAGACAACGTCTCCTTCGTGCCAGTGGGTTGCTTAATCACAGTAGAATTGGTCGGCATTTTTGTTGCCCACACACAGGAGATAAAGCAACTTACCAACACACACAGATACCTGCACTTACACGCACCTGTTGTTTGCCTGCGAACGTTGTTGTATATCGAAATGTGGCGGTATGTCTGTCCGCGTGTGTGTGTGGCAAATATGAATTATATCTACCTTTCGACATTTAACATTTCCAACTCGAAAGCCTCGAAAGGGGTCATGTGGCAGACAGTTCGACAATGGAAGCAAAAACATATGAAATGAAACACTTTTAATTCGCTGTGTGTGTGTGTGTGTGTATAGCAAAGGTATGCAGAAAAGAAAAGGTCTCAGCTCGGCTCGCAAAGCATTATAGCAAGTGACAGTAACATAAATGGCAGAAAAGTAACATGAGGAGTGGAAACAAAAGCGAAAGCAAAGAAAAACAAGAAACAATAATGCTAAAAGTCTACAACAACAGAAAAGTCGGAATGATATTCAATTTCGCAGCAAAGCAGACGGCTCACACACACACCAACACACACACACACACACATACATGCATACGCACAGAAGGAGCTCGCTGTTTATATGCCGAATTAGGATCTGCAGGGAATCGAGCGTGTTTTTCGGCATTAGACAAAGGTCCTTGCTCGCATGCACTAATAAAGTTTTATTTTTGTTTGCACGCTAGTACACTCAAACATGCACACACGCACACACACACACCATGCATATATGTATCACGAACCTTTTTCCTTTCGTACAAATTAGAATTTACGCAGCTTATGGTGCTGCTTGTGCGCCATCGATATCCAGTCGGATTGGTATTTACGATTCTTGACTTCAAAGCCACAAAAGAGTTAGCAATTCTGATGGATACACAATAACACACCTAACACACACGTACGCGCGCACTGTTGTTGCTTGAGTTATGTATTTGCGTGCGTGCAACAATTTTTGAATACGCTTTCAAGGATCTGTTGCATGCTTTTCGGCGTAACCAATACACTGAAGCAGTGGGAGAGCACTTTTTCACTGCCACATACACACACACACATATCTCTTATGCCATTGTCTGCTGTCTACGGCACTATCCGCGTTAACCGCGCTCACCTGCCCGCAAATTGCTTTCTTCGCATTAAATCGCTCTAAATCCAGTTGTGTGTGTATGTATTCATTCGTTTTGCACAGACCTAAGCATCTGCAGAATATTTGTTTTCTTTGAGCACGACACAATCAATACGCATATCAATGCATTGTTAAGCGTTTTATAAATTATAGAAGCCCCAGTTTGATGCTGGAAGGAAGGAGGAAAAAGCAGCAACGCAACAATTCACAATTCACATTTTATTTAATTTTTTTTTGCTTTCCACACTTTGCCTTGTTGTACTTTGCGTTGCACATCCGTCGAATGCGTGCGTACACGACGAGCTTTCCGAGCAATCTGATAAGACAGCATCCTGCCGTGTCGGACACATCCTACGCGGTGCTCCCGACACATTGGGATGCTGTTGCTGTTATCAGGTATTGTGAATGAAATGGCGAATGTTAACTGAGCTTTTTATCTGCCTTAGTGCTTTGGCGCTTTTTGAGCTCGCTTTGAGTTCATAAACCTTTTTGAAGCTTTTGTGTTGCTGAAGAGCTCTCCCTTTCTAATATTACATTAGTTAAAAATTTCTCTTTTAACGATGTAGTAAATATAGCGACATCTGCAGGGTTATGTGTTACATATCATATCAATTCGACCAGTCCTCGTGATTTTCCCACTCTTGCACCAACTGTTATAACTTGGTGTTTAATTATTTCGCTCTATTTAGCTTGGTGCGGATATGGATAAACTACTACCCCATATTTCACTTCCTTATAGGTTATTTTTAATTCTGCAGTTATCGAGCACCCTGTTGCAATAATATGGTTCTTAACCATTTTTAGATAAGTACGTAAACTGTTTATTCGTCATAGAGCTTTCTTTGGAAGAGCGCTTCGACGAACAGAAAAGAATCAGAGTGCCTTAAGACATCGAATATTCTTTATGTTAATAAATCGTCACCTAAAATGGAAAACAACGTATCATCAAATAATTTAAATTGGGTTTTTTATTGCTTACGATTCATTACATCATGTTATATAAAAATATTTTGCAAAAAATTTTCATCCAACCAGTATATAACCACTATATAATCATTTTATAACCAAAATTCAAATTTTGTTTCAATATGAGTGGTTCTTGTTATTGCTTTTCCTTCGTCTGTAAACTTATAAAAAGTGATGATATGTTATTTTACATTTCAGGTGACGTCATAAAGTTCGGATAAAACCTCAGAACAACAAATTCGTCATAATCCTGATAAATAAAAAAAATTTAATTTTATAGAATTCTCAGATTTATTTGAACCCTTCAAAGCTTTCTTGAGCGGTTCCAGGAGGATCTCCGAAAAAAGTGTCTGGCGGAGTTTAGATTTTTCTGTTGAAAGTTTTCTTTAATCCAAAATAATTTATTATTACTATAGACGAATCAAAGTTATGATTGAAGGGCTAGTCAAACTATTGATTTTTGACAAAATGGCAACTACTAAAAAAGTAATTTTTGTAAAAAAAAAATTATATTTCAGAGTGTCTTAAAAATCGAAATTATTATCAATAGTCTTATTTCCTGGATCTTTCTTATTTCAAATCGGTCGGTCTTACCGTTTCGGTAACATTTTCCTCATCGACTGTGAAATCAGCATTTCAGTTTAAGTAAATTATTGCATAATATATTTTCTCTTTTATTTCTTGTTTCCCCCTTTATACCAAATGAAATCTTCAGTAGTTGAAGTCTTTCCTCGCCTCACACTACGGGAGTTAATATTTAACGAAACTACAGTGGGTTGTTGGGGTAAAAACACAGCAGAGATGTGATGAATATGAATCCACCACACCTTCCCCTTTGTAACCAAATTCAGTGCCCTTCAATGGTGGTGGTGGTGTTTCAAGTGAAACTAAAACTTTTCACCACCACTTGTGAAAGGGGCACTTTTTCACGGACAAACGCGGCAACTAGCTTTGGGGTATTAGTGTTGAATATGCACTGATAGTATGGTGAATACATTCAACCCGCAAAGTAACGCCCACACACAACACAGCTGAGACTGAGGTAAACCCAAAGAGCATATCTGCAAAAGAACATGTGATTGAAAGCTTTGTGCAGAGCACGTCGTGCCAGCAACAACTAACCTACAATCGACAATCAACACGCTGTGAACGAACGAACCACCAACCAAACCGATAAGACGAAAGGCAGACGAACGCACGAGGCGAGCCAACAATACGGGACGATGTGTGGACCAGTGCCAAAGCACAACGAACGCGAAAGGATTTTTGAAAAGGCAAAATCAGCGCCAAGATATTTTTGAAATAGTCATAAAGGACAACTAACGGCGTGTTGACGCGTATACCGCAACCGTACGGTGAATGTACATAACCGTATTATTGTGTGAACAGCAGCGCGACGCTCGTGTGAACATAACGGATTAACAATTCATGCGAATTTGGTGTTGAATGCCGAGCTTGGGATTATAATAATAATAAGAACGGCGCAGAATGGAGCAATGAGTGATTTATCCGATGGCATCAATGCCGCCTTTGAGCGCAAAGCAGTGCCTGAGGCGGAAAGTCCAAAGTGTCAAACTGAACAAAAGTTGTAATAATTGCAATTTGTTTGAGCGTAGCGTTGAGCAGTTGAGAAGGGATAAGAGTGAAATAAGTGGCATTATGCATTTGTAATGCGATTGCAATGTGGCTGGTAACTGACAGCAGTGAGCCGAGTATTAAACAGAATTAATTCATAAATGTTAATAATGTAAATGATGGTGCAAATACAAAAATATGTATTGGAGATATACATATGAGTGTTTAACTGAATTCGCGCGAGTGTGAAGTGAATGTGCAGTAACATTTTCTGAAATGCACAAAAAAATCACGCTGCAATTTTTCTTTTTTAAATTATTGATACGCTTGTAGAAAAACTTTCGAAGTACTGCGCACACGTGAAATCATTAAAAAATATACAAATATTAAAAAATAAAATAAAATAAAATACAACATAATAATGAAAGATATAAAAATGTTTTGTGAATGCCAGCTATTTGCCTTTAATTAATGCAAATTAAATATTGGTCCGGCAAGTGAATCGCACGCTGTGTCCAAAAAAGAAAAAAAGTTACATCAAAGAGTTTTGGGTTAAAGGTAAATGAATCCCAACTACATATGACCTTAGAAGTTGTCATAATAAAACATATATTTTGAACTCAATATTATTTCAAATTTACAGCAATATGTTTGTTTACTTTAAAATTAAATGAAATGCAGCAGAGCAAATAAGTAAAGCATACTTTTAGGACTCCATTTTATTTACAGCAACGTAAATAATTTTGGTTGATACTTAGTACATTAATATAAAACTACTACTATGATAAAATTTTGAAAATATATTTTTGCCAATATATTTGATATTTTCTAGTTGGTAAAACCGTAGCAGCCATTTTAAAAATATTTCGCTTGTAAAGAACCACTACTGATCGCATCTACTTAATTCATGGGGACACAGGTGCTGATATGCTGTGAATTTTTCTCAAAAATACTTGTTTTCTGTGAGCTAAAGGTATTTCTACTATAGGTTTTTAAGTCCTCTTCCAGTGGCTATAGTCAATAGTATTCTTTAAGTTTGTGTGCGTCTTGTATTTGTATTGCAAACAAATTTGAAGGGAAATCATTTGTGCATATTATTTTACGAAAAAAAGAAATAAATAATAATATAGGACATGCTTTTCTATAAAAGTTTGTTATGGTTTATTATTTCCTTTTGCCTTCGTGATTGTAGCTTGAATGAGAGTTTGTGTTTCTTTCAGAATTTTTAAGTGAACACAACTTGTTCTACTCTAAGCTCTTTAAGCAATTACAAACTTTTTGAAATGTGTAAATATTCTGAAACCTGATAACATAATCAGAAATAATATTTCTTAGTGAGTGTGAGTGTTTTTAGGTCAAATTCTGCTTCCAAAATAGCTCGAAATTACAAAAATCATGGAACAATAAAGACCTTAAAAAGGAGTCTGTAGTCTATGCTGGAAGCTTTAAACTTTGCATGGACAAATAAATAATAAAGTGTACTTTATTAGACGCATGGTTTTCAATGAAGCAACAACAAAATAAGTTTTCGGAGTTGATCTTTCTGACTGCTTGATTTATATTGATTTTGGTTTGACATTTCATAATGAATAAACTTACTCCGGAACAACGTTTGCAAATCGAGAAGAAAATATGGTGAGATTTAACACCGCTGAACTATTTGTTGTGGTTATGTGAAGTCAGTTGTCTACGCAGATGAGCTCAAGACGTTTGACGCCATGGAAATGACTCGGCTCGCTTACATGCGACCCCAATTGCTGCCAAAAATGGGCGGAAACTGCGACTTTCGGCTTTAATTAATTTGAGCTAGCTGAACCGGTTACTTCCTCGAAATATTTTCAAAACATAATTGCAAAGCTTTATCTTTATATTAAAGCTAAATTTTTGCCATAACTTAAATTTTTTTTCTTTTTGAAATTCGGATCTCTAAAACAACAAAAACAAAAACAAAAAAAAAACAAAAAAAAAACATATGTATACACAGTTTAAGAGACGTGTATATTGTCATATGTATGTATGTCATGTCAATGGCATACATTATTAAGTGGTGTCATGTTATTGTTTTCATACAAGTCGGCTATCCATTGAACAGACAGTAAATGATCCTAACATCATT